CTCCCCCTCCTTGGGACAGAGATTTCATCATTGTCTGGACCTCAGGTATCTCCAAGAGGATTCCAGTTAGCACTGAGTTCATAAAATAATAAGTTTCACCCTAAGCTCCTGTCTTTTTCTGGGCCCAATTATATATCAGTTTTCAGCTTTGCTTTACATAGTCTCTTGGTTGATCTCTGTGATGGATGCCCCACGTCATGCCTGTCACTCATAGTTGGAGCTTATTTGCATAAGCCTATGAGAGGACAGGAGGGGCGGAGGCAGAGAGTCAGTTAGAGAGAGTGAGAATCCCATAAGCTTCTGAGAGCATATCTAATTCTGCTATATCCAACAGCTTCTTTAGAAGCTCCTCTATCGTTGGGATCTCTTCATTCTTCCATTTTTGGGCCCAGAATAACCTAGCTGCTGTAAATATATACATTATACAATATTTTATTCTCTTATCAATAATTTCTGGCATTATATTCAATAATATTTCAGGTTTAAAATTTAATTTTTGTTGAATAATTTCTTTTGCCATTTCCCACACCTGTATCCAGAATCTTTTGACTTTTTCGCATGTCCACCACATACGATAATAGGTCCCTGGATTATTTTTACATTTCCAACAAACACTGCTATCACCCTCTGATATTTTTGCTAATTTGACAGGGGTATAATGCCATCTGTAAAACATTTTGAGGATATTTTCCCTAAGATTCACTGGCTTAATCATTTTATGACACTCTTTCCACATCCTTGTCCATTAATCAATATTTATATTATATCCAAAACTACTTGCCCATTTTACTATCATCTCCCTCATCCTCTCATCCGCCTGCACTTCCCCACTATTTTATCTTTTTTGTATCTCAATTCTAATTTCAACATTGACCACCAGTCTGTAGCCAGTCCTAGTTCCTCTAGCTCTTGTTTATCTTTTATCTTTTGTTCTTTGGCTAGTAATTCTTTATATGTAACACTCCCTTCTGGTTCAACATTTTCAACATAAATGCCTCTATAGGAGCTACCCATATTGGAATTTTCTTAAATTTGGAATTTTTGCCACACTAAGCATAGCACCTCCCTCAGAATATGTTCTGCAAAATATGATTGTTCTTTATATTTCCCATACCACACATATGCATGCCAACCCATTTTTAGATCATGACCCTTCAATTTCAAGTCTTTGATTTTCAAGAGTTATTCATTCATCCAAGCCATAGAATATAATGACCAATTCGGTAGTCCTGAACCCCCTCTTTTAGAATATAATGGCCAATTCGGTAGTCCTGAACCCCCTCTTTCGTCTTGCAGTCTTCTAAGTTTTATTCTTGGTTTCTTGGCTTTCCATACAAATTTCGATGTCAAACTGTCCAAGTCCTTAAAATATTTATAATTTATTAGAATTGGTAAGTTTTGAAATAGAAATACAGTAATAGTTTTGGCAATATTGTGGAAATTCTTCCCATCAAAGAACGTTCCAGCTTGTTCCATTCTTCCAAATATTTCTGGATTACTTCTGTATTGTGAGATAATTTTCTTTCATTAAATTACTTGGGTTTTTGGTGATGATCACTCCTAAATATTTTGATTTCTGTAGCTTCTCAAAGTTAGTTTTCCTTACTAATCTTTCCACCTCTTCTTTCTTTACGTTTTTAGTCATGAATTTTGTTTTTTGTTTTTTTGATAATTTATTTTAAGCAACATTACCGCTCCAAATTCTTCTATGACTCTCATTAATTCTTCCAGACTTTCTAGAGGATTTTCTAGTATTATTGCAAGGTCATCTGCATCTTTTAAACAGATGCTCAGGACTGAACCCAAAACATACCTAGCACATCCTCTACCAAACGTTTTAAAGGTGTAATGCTACAACCATTGAGGTCTGTGGGGTTTCTATGTAGGCATTTATACAAGACTCTGCAACCTGTATTAGCAAATCTTTCAGGTTCTTTCAGAATGGCATCATAACAAATGTTCTCTGGGCAGAGACCTTAAGGGCTGTTTTGTACAATAGATTTGCTAAGGGGAAAAAGTTGAATTGTATCATATGAGAGTCTTCCATCTTTCATTATTCATACGTTATAAATTAAAAATGTAGCCTTAAATTATTTCAACATGCATTTTAATGGGGATTCCTCCCCCAAATAAGAAAACCACACAGACAGCATTGGGAGTTATTTAAGAGTGCAGACTGTTTAGCATTATTTATTTATTTACTCATTTCATATATATCCTTCTTCTCTCCAATTTCAGGGACCTAAGGTGGTTAGAAAATGCTGTGGGGGAGGGCAGACACATAAATTATTTTTAAATGACATTAAACATTTAATGATATCAAAACAAAACATAAAACTAAAAATAGTGAGGGGAGAAAGGAAATATTCACAAGATATTTCACAATATCTTGTGAAAAGGCTCTCTTAACTCGATTTTTAAAAAGAGGAAAAGTGCAGCATCATTTGTAAAATATTCAGCTTAATTAGTGGCCAAAAAGTTGACTGAAGAAAAAGGTCTTTGCCTAGCAGCAGGAGAGCAGGAAGATGGCCAGTACAATATCTTGTGAAAAGGATTTGCACAGGTTGGGAAAAGCCAAGGAAAAGGCTCTCTTAACTTGTCATAAAAATGCATTGAGAGTGGTGGGATGAAGAAAAGGGGCTCTCCCGAAGATGTTCAAATTTGGGGAGGATTGTATTGGAAATAAAGCCCTTCTAATATCCTGGACCTAAGCTGTTATAGGGCTTCATAGGCCATTCCAGCATTCTGAATTTGCGTGGAAACAGATCCATGATCAGTGATGCCGATGTAACAGGGAAGTTGTATGCTCCCCTTACTCATCCCAGCTAACCTGAGTGCAGTGTTTTCAACCAGAGGAAGTTTTCCTCCATATTCTTTAATGGGTGTCCTGTGTAGAGTACTGTACACTTCATCAATCCATGTAGAATTAAGCTAAGCCATGTACCACCATAGCCAGATCAGCTATTTCAAGGAACAAGTGCAGTTAGTGCACTAGCTTTAACTGGGCAAACATCTTCTTGGGTGTATAATGCCATTTATTGAGAGATGCTTTGTTTTTAAACAGATAAACCAACCTGGCCTAACTGGTTTAGGGATTATGTGAGTAAAGTGGGAAGTGAAAGAATCCCAAACTCAGTTTAGACAAGCTTGTTTATCCCACATTCTTGCAGTTTCAAATAGGATAAACCAAGAGGTTCAAATCTGCTAGTCCCCCCACCTCTCCCTCCTCCACACCCACCCACAAATACAGAGTTAGCCATGTTTAAGTTTACAGTTTGAAATAGTTTGCCCAAATAGTCTGTCCTGGCATGCAAAACCCCCCCCCCCCCCCCCCCCCCAAATCATGAGCATGGCTTCTCAGTAGTAAAGGGTCACCAAGGGCCCATCATCTTTCTGCCTACCCAGCCATTCCGACTTCGCCTCAACAAGCTCTCTTTCTCTCTCCTGACAGGCTACATCCAGGAGTACTCTGCCATTATTTACCCCTGTTCCCCCGTGCGAAGTATTTCTGTGGAGAAAGTGCCCTGGCAATCCCAGGCCCTCTTCCGTGGGAACAAATCTTATTGAACGTAACCTCTGGTAAAAGCACCGAGGGATAGCAATGGCTGCAGAAAAGTGAGACAGGGAAGCCCTGTCTGCCTGTCCGCCGCCCGCGCTTCCCTATGATTTTTGCTGGTTGTCCTTGCTTCTCCGAGATCGCCCGTGGAGGTGCACGGACCGCTCACGGGACCCTCCTACAGTTGTTTGCCCCTAAGTAAACCCCATTTTGTTCAATAGGACTTCCAAGTCAGCCTGTGCCCGGGGCTGGCGGCTCGGGGTAGCCCTTTCCCTGCGCGCGTTCCGACCCCGAGACTCTTCCCCGTGCGGGGAACGCAGGAAGGAGCCCCTGAGGCGGCTTCGCGCCCAAGGCCTCGAGCTGTTTCCCGCCAAAAGTGTGCTCAGAGTGGAAGTTTATATCGTTTACACAGGGAGCGAACGAAGGTCCAATTTTCAGTCAAACTCCGTTGTTGGGAGACCAGGCATCCCGATGTTTCCGGGACTTTCCTCCACCATGGGCAAGGATGGGCATTAACACTCGAAAAATGTGTTATAATTCAGCTTCTCTTGGGCAGCTGCTGAAACGGGAGGCTGTGAAGCCATAATGTTGGCCTTATTTTGTGTGAAAAACGCCAAGCGCCTGTGAGAGAATGGGATTTCGGAGACGTCTTCT